TTTATGGAATAGGTTAATTTGACAAAAATGCTTTCCTGATGGAATTTTGCTCTTACCTTTTTGAGATTTGTATATTTTTTTTGCTCTCTCATGATATGTAGATGTATAAAAAGCTTTTCCTGCTGGGCGACGGAATGAAATCATCATGCTCTCTGGCTGTGAAAGTGACCACAGAGAGGGGTGATGGCAAGCGTAGCAAGCATGGGGTGTAGCCTGCTAGTATCTGTTAAAATTATTTTTTGTCATGATGGCTGTCAATGCATATGCACTAAAAAGATGAATTAAAGTAGTGTGTTTAATCTTAATTCGGGCTTTTCCTAACTGTTGATTGCTTGACTTGGCAAGATTAATGTTCTTTTAACATTGTTTGTATGTAATACTATAAAAGGTCGAAGAAAATAAGGCGGTGGCAGCTAAAGTGGAGGATAGTTAAGACTTTTAGCAACAGTGAAGGCATAGGAGGCCAATTGAGACTGTAATCTAAGCACATTAGGTAGACGTTTTTGTACAAATGAACAGCTTTGATAGAGTTGTTAATATTGATGTGTGAATTGTCACATTTAGGATTCAGCATCACCCACACTTTGTAATGAATGAAATAGTTCACAGCTCTCTTAGATTTTTGTTTCAGACTATGAGTAAACTCAGAAGGATAACATTACATCTTCCTGGACACACAATTGCAGATCTAAAAGTAGCCATCCTGCAGCAAAAAAACTTCAGGACCAGACTTCAAAGAGAAACTGCTGAGCTACAGTTCATCTTTAAGTTTGACACAATCAACTCTGGATTAAACAAAGACTGTGAATGGCTTGCTAACTACAAAAGCAGCTTCTGCTCTCTTGGAATTCACACCTCCAGATCAGCTGCTAGAAGTGGGCCTCATCCTCCTTGATTGGATCCACCTCGTCATCTCCAGCCTGATCCTGGCCTGCATATTTATTCCTGCCTCTGGAAATTTCCACTACATGCATCTGACGAAGTGGGTCTTTGCCCACGAAAGCTTATGCTCCTACACTTCAGTTAGTCTATAAGGTGCCACAGGACTCCTCGTCGCTTTAACATTACATCAGTTACCTTTGCTCATGCACAAAATCAAAATGTTGAGAACAAAGTTAATCAAGAAACCAAAGGTCACGAAACGAATGTTCAATTATAAATGAATGTACAAGAAAGCAAGAATAATATACAAGTTTCTTTTCTGATATTTGTAGTAGTACTTCATTCAACCTTTTACTTAATTTATCTTGTTAAGTTGTATTGCTAATGAATATATCATCCTGTTATAATTCAGTTACAATGTACAGAGAAGTCTCCATACTGTTTTATAAAAAATGATATATAAACAAAGTTTTCAGACAATATCTGTATTGCACAAAATCTGTCATTTTAAATAATGCTAACACGTAATGTGATCTATCAGATATTATTCCTTAATTCCTAAAGTAACAGAAAAGCAAACAAAGGTCAGATGACACTTGTGTATACCAGACATTTTAGCATTCATTGCCAAGTGTACAGTTCACTGTTCGGTCACCTGTGTTTGTCAGTTTAGCACATTTAAAGCAGTTTTCAGCCCTCTTTGTTCTCTAAAGCTTACTTTGGTGCTTCAAACGTTGCCTGGCCCATTATTCTCTGATGAAGGTTAAGGTCTTTACTGTCAGACCGGAACTACTCACTAATTAGAGCCCTGGGTTTGGCACTGAACATGTCATGCCTGCAAGCCTTCCTACTGGGATCAATGGCACTCATGTTCACTTTCATAAATGTACAATAGACACAAATCTCAGTGGAGAACTCCGTACTTAGCTTGCACTAAGAAACAAATTCAAATCTTTATAAAATACAGACACTACCATAATGGACACAAAATAGAGCTTTGGAATAGACATTGATCAGTCCACTTACTAACGAAATTGGTGGCTTCTACAGGATGCAGTCAAATGCTTAGAGGACTTACTGTCGCTTTTTGTATCTTTAAGTGTAGACAAACTTGGGGATATAAGTTTCTATACTTGGAAAAAAATTCAATGTTTCCTTTTTCATGTACTTGAGAGAATATAATATAGCAAATTAACTCATTTACAGAGAGTAACTGCCCTTTTGTTACTGGTGCCAGTAACGTGGTGTTAGGGGTAAATATCACATTATCATTAATAGGTATTCGGAAAGATAAATGTTTTATTTCCTATTTGTTGTCTTCTCCATAAGCTGGGTAAGTAAAGTTATTGGTGTTTTTTTTCTTTTATGAGTTGAACTGAGATATAGAATATCAGTGCTGCCTCTTGGATTAGTTCTCAAGTCATGATCAAAGATAAGTTGCATCCTTCTGTCACAGTAAAACAGATACAAAAATTTTTGAATACCTTTTTCTATTTTTTTCTGTATATTCTGTATTTTGTCACCAGTCCTTAACTCTGCTTGGCCATAGATTTCTTCTTATGTTTCCACCACTGGTATCTGGGCAATTTAAAGAACTTTCCTTTGCTTCTTCATTAATTTTGTTGTCAGTATCTGTGCTTAAGTGCTCATTTCTTCCCTCTTCCTACACTTTTTTTGTGTTGTTAGTTTAAAACTTTCCTGACTAGCCGAGTCAACAATTCCTTGGGAAGATTGGTTTCCCTTCTGCTGAAATGTAGACCTTCCAAATCATGTGGACTCTTCTTTCCATAAAAATGGGCCAATGTTCCACAAAATGAAATTCCTCACCTTACATCATTTGCTTAGAAGGGTCAGGGGGCAGTCGAGTTAGTCTGTACAGGATAAACTTAAAAAACAACAAATGGTCTGGTAGCACTTTATAGACTAACAAAACATGTAGATGGTATCATGAGCTTTTGTGGTCACAGGCAGCCCACTTCTTCAGATTACCGAAGTTTTAGATGACCACTTGTTTAGCCAGGAATTCACTTCCAGAATCTTCTACCTTCTATCCTCCTTTACTGTTGGGACAGGCAGGACTTCTCTATTAAGATATGTAATTAAAAAGAAAATGGTGTCTTATTTTGTGTAATAAACTTATGACTTCCACTAAAGTCAAAGAGAATACATAGATGGCTGTAGCATTAGTATTATTGATGGATTGATACTCGTAATGGTATCTTAAATCCTAGTAACCTGTGCCAAAGATTCACACTCTAAGAGCTACAGTATTAGAATTAGGAGGGCAAAAACTGTCATTAGGTTTGGAGACTCTGGGAACACACAGAAAACAATATCAGTGACCACAACAGCATTCACAATTTCAATCTTTATTAAAAACCTTCCTACATAGATCTTGGATTTCAGAGTTATTGACACATAAACAAAGATGAAGAAACACCCATAAGATGTGCATTGTCAGTGTTTTCATACTTGCATCCGCATGGGTACCATATTGAGGTCATCTGTAGAGGGTGTCCTGATATATACTTCCTCCCCATTCATGCTGGGGAACCCCTTTTATGCTGTGTAACACTCATGCTGTAACCTGTATGCATATGCATGACGGTTCCAATCCCTTTTCCCTTATTGGAACTTCCACAATTCATAAAAATTTGTGGTGACCCACTTTTTGTATGCTATCCTCTTAATTTCCCTTCTTTTCATTAGCATTTACATAATCAAGTCCCCATGGTAATATGTGGTTGTTGCAGAATTTTACAATGAGGTATCTTATGATACTGACAGGTGCATTGATTTTTCCCAAACATTGCTTATTAGCACATGTTTTATGCTGATCTTGTATCTCTGCTGGTACATAGTTACTCCTGGGTCACCTTCTCATGTCACCTTCTTCAGGCCTTAAGTTTAATGTGGCTAAGCTAAAATCTTACAGTTGTCAGTCTCCAGGTCTTGTATTACAGCCTGTCTTTGCTTGTAAAACTAATATACATTCATCACTCATAAATTCATGTGCTATCTTATACATCTGTATAAGCATCCTGCTTATACCTATATCTACAACTTAAATGTATTCATCACACATTAATTACATATACATTAAGCACAATAGAAAACACAGTTAAATGATTTTTATAAGGTGATTAACTACTGAGCTAAAATTTTAAATAGAATAAAATAGAGTAGAGCATATTCTTTTTCAAGTGGTCTGTAAAGAAAATTAGTTACATATGATTGATGGGACTATAACATCCCCTGGAATTATAGAAAGATATTTTCCAGACTTCTATAACTGTAAACATGGAACTTAATTGTATGTCTCCTAGAAAATGGAAACAAATGCTATCAGTTTAGATGTGAAAGTTTTTTTAAAATTGTATTTCTTGATCTCCACCTGTTAGATTAAGCACACCCTCTCTAATATTTTTAATATTTCCTGCCCAGCTAATTAAAGTTAAAATTTGGAATTGGATATATCAATATCAAGTTATCTGCACAATTAGTTGTATGTTGGTTGGTTGGTTTAACCACATGAAATAGCCATCATTTTTTAGTTTTGTCAGCTTCGCTGCTGCCAACAAAGATTTGTCAAAAGTTGGGAGGTTTTTTTTCTGTTGTCAAAGTTAGACAGGACTCACAAATTTGTCAGACCGCTCTGTTTATTCAGCAAAGCTCTGCTAAAATGCATCCAGAAAATGTGAGCACCATAAAATGTTCAAACCCCTTGATTTATACAGTCAAAAAAAGTCAAGTTAACAGGATTTAAAAGGAGGGGCAAAACTTCACATGATTAGTGTGAGACTTAGTTAAGTATCTTCATTTCCACTTCAAGCACACAGCAATCTCCTGTCCATATCTACTTGGTTCTCAATTGCTTTCTCCCTAACACCTAATGTTCCTTTTCCTATTAACTCTGGCTAGCACATTGATCTGCATACCTACAAACAACATTAACATACTTTTCTTCTTCCTGTTCAGAGACAAACAGTATTCCTTCAACTTATTCAATTATTACAGCACAATTCATCTTTCTCTTACATTATAATTCTTTCTACTTTCACACTGTCTATGTTTAAAATTCTTGTTTTTACAGTTGTGGCTGTGTTTTTGTTTTAAAGGTTGGAAGGAATTTACCCACGCACCCTGCAGACAGCCACCTGAGTCCAGGGTGTCAAGATAATTCACTGCTAAAAAGGGATGAAGAAAACTATGAACTTCATACTCCTCCTGTTCTGAATACGATCTTCTCAGGATCCAAAAGGTAGACCTGAATGGTTGCAATTTCATAAAAATTTATGTTCTAAATACATGTTGTATGATGATGATCTTTAGATAAGGCATCTAGATAGACTTATGTGTAGTGCTGGGAAGGAGCCAGTGGTCATGGTACACGTAGGTACCAATGACATGGGGAAGGGTAGTAGAGGTGTCCTGGAGGCCAAATTTAGGCTGCTAGAAAAGAGACTGAAATCCAGGACTTCTATGATGGCATTCTCAGAAATGCTTCCAGTTCCATGTGCAGGGCCAGGTGGGCAGGCAGAGCTTCAGAGTCCCAATGTGTGGATGAGATGATGGCAAGGAGGGGTTTAGCTTTATAAGGAACTGGGGAAACTTTTGGGATAAGGGGAGCCTATATAGGAAGGATGGGCTCCACCTAAACCAAAGTGGATCCAGACTGTTGGCACTTAATATTAAAAAGGTCACTGTGCAGTTTTTAAGCTAAGAGATGGGGGAAAGCCTATTGGTGCAGAGGAGCACATGGATCGGACAGAGACGTCTCTTAGAGGAGAGTCTATTGATAGAGATTCTCTAGGTTTTAGTCAGGAGGAGATGATGGAAGAGGATAAAGTATGGGCCACATCAGACTAAAAACATTCACATAAAAAAGAATCTGACACATCAGAAAAGGGCAGACAACTTAACAGTGACAAGTTTTTAAAGTGCTTGTACACAAATGCTAGAAGTCTAAAAAATAATATAAGGGTGCCTTGTGTTAAAGGAGGATACTGATCCTCACTCCCCTCTCCCCCCTCCAAAGTGGTGGAGTGAGGACAATCAATAGGACACAATCATTCGGGGGTACAAAATATATCGGAAGGACAGAACAGGTCATGCGAGTGAGGGAGTGGCATTATATGTGAAAGAAAATTTAGAGACAAATGAAGTAAAAATCTTAAATGTATCAACATGTTCCATAGAATCGCTATGGATAGTAATTCCCTGCTCTAATAAGAATATAACAGTAGGGATCTATTATCAATTACCTGACCAGGACAGTAATAGTGACTATGAATGCTAAGGGAGATTAGAGAGGCTATCAAAATAAAGAACTCAATAATAGTGGGGGATTTCAACTATCCCCATATTGACTGGGTACATGTCACCTCAGGACGAGATGCAGAGCTGGTACAGGAACCCACAGGGGGAGAGGCAATTCTTGATTTAGTCCTGAGTGGCGCGCAGGATCTGGTCCAAGAGATAACTGTAACTGGAAATAATGACCATAATATGATAACATTTAACATTCCTATGGTGGGAAGAACACCTCAACAGCCCAACACTGTGGCATTTCCTTTCAAAAAGGAGAACTGTGCAAAAATGAGGAGGTTAGTTAAACAGAAATTAAAAGGTACTGTGACTGAAGTAAAATCCCTGCAAGCTGCATGGACACTTTTCAAAGACACCATAATAGAGGCCCAACTTAAATGTATATCCCAAATTAAAAAACATAGTAGAAGAACTAAAAAAGAGCCACCG